TGTTAATAAGAGCTTATATAGACAAGGTCAGAAAAACAAACATGCAGAAAATTATAAACCTTACAACCTTTTTTCCAAGAAAACTGGGATGCAGACGTGACTAACCTGGAATTGTAATAATTCCAGGTTATTATTGTGGTTATCTTCAAATCAAACCACTCCAAAATCCAATACACAAAATCTAATCACCTTTGTGAAAAACCTCAATAGATATTTTCTATGAGACAGTTTGTTGGAAAAATAAATATTTGTCCTTTCCCCCCTTATTTTCTAAATAATCCTTTCCCAGTGAAATCACGCTTCCAGCACAGTTAGTGGTCAGGAGTAGAAGGCGATGATATCTTGACTCAGTATTGATCTGCGGTGAAATGTCACAGGTAGTTCATGGAAAGTCATGCATAATGATCATTATTAAGGAATTACTTCACTTTTTCTAAACAGTGTATCTGCCACCAGGCGAACAAAAACGCTTTGCATTAAAAAGAAAAAGAAGACCCAGAATGTATCAGATGAAATAAATCTAGCCAGTGTTAGAAGGAAACTTAACCTGCCATTTTTTTGGTTCTGACTTAAAATACCTTGTTGGTGGATGAGTTGTTTTAATTTAACCAACTGCAGAATAAAGGGGAATAAAGGAAAGCCGAAAGCTGAGGTAGATGAAAGATTGAGAAATTGAGAGCAGCGGAAAGTGATGCAGACAGAATGCAAAGAAACAAGTAAGGTTAAAAGAAAAGACTAAAGAGCTGTCTGAATAAGATTTAATAACAACCTAAGTGCTTTCATTGAGTCAGAAGTTTGGCTAGAGCCATTACCTCAGCGTCTGTATCATTACTCTGTCAAAGCACAGAGAGCATCTTTGATTAAAGTATCCGATGCTTAAAAGAGAGGATGAGACACACGCTGATGGTTCGGTAGGCTTAAAAACAATTGGACTATTATTACTCAGTGAACTGGAACTTTCTCATGAACTGACAGCAGAAAATTATGCTCATATCTCTTTTTCTGAAGTACTGTCTGGTAAGTTAGTGCTGCTTAAGTTTGGCAAAGAAAAGATATATGTATATATTTTCACCAGCCTATGGAACACATTTAGCTTGCATTTTGAAATTGTAAATGATTATTAAACATGTAACACAGTTTGTAGCACTGTAGCTTTCCATCAGTCGGCTCCTGGTTTTGGTCCTATACTGGACCAAAAAAAACAAAAAACAATTATGTCTGAATGTTTAAGTCTTAAATAAGACATGTTTACATGGGCGCTAAGTGTATTAGCCCACTATAAAAAAAGACTACATGGGCTTAAATATATAATAAGCATTCATGATTAAATATTTATCCTGGAGCAAATGTCACATAGTAGCATGAGTTGAGGTAGGAGCCGTAAACGCTCCCACTGCGTGGAATCCACTGTGTGCCGCTTCACTGCGAGGTTTAGGTTTTGTTGCATTGATGAAATTATAGAAATACCATTATGGAGTCTTTTTTATGGTGGACATTTTTCTGCTGGGAGGAGTTGATTGAGTCACGAGGAACCAAGTAGGAACTGACATCCATCAGAGCAGTGCCCTCTAATCCTGAAATTCCACATCCTCCGACGCCAGCGTTGGTTGGTGTTCTTTTTATTTTGAGGATTTGGGTGGAAAAAAATGGAAGAAAGTTCACATACCTGCATAGGAGTGCTACCTTTTCGATTTGTAAATGTTTTTTTTCTATACTTGCAACAAAACTTTCAGCAGTAGTATGCTGATGAAGATTCTCAGTCATCCAGGTCATAGTCATTCCGTAAAAGTTTTTAAAAAATCCACTGGACTTGGTTTCCATGATTTGAAGACGTTTCGCCACCTCTCCAGGAAGCTTTCTCAATTCAAATGTCTGGATCCGCGGTGATTTTGAGGCTTTACTGTATATAGCGAGGCCTTGTATTGCTTGGAAACATGCAAATGGAACAGATGAGTGGGTCGTTTGGTTCCATTGTTAGCCTGTAATATCTGAAACCTGCCTATGATTCTGGAGGTCGGTCGTTAAAAGGTGGGATTGTCGTTAAAGGGGGGGATTAACTCCTGTAATACCTGAAACCTGTCTATGATTGTTAAGGGTCGGTCTTAAGGAGGTATTGTTCACCGGCTGGAGCGGATGAACAATAC